GGCCTGAGGCCTATATCGGGTAAAGGCCCTTTTACAACTATTTATTTTCCTTTTTTTTTCAAAATTTGGGTTTTCTTTTGTCATGCAGGGCCTGGTTCTGTACCTGGTCTCTGATTCGTACATCGGACTCGATCAAGAGCACCAAGTGAAGGCCCCTCCCCCGCCTGTGCAGAGTATCTCTGAGCCAGTGGCCAATCCAATCAAGGAGATGATCCGACGAAAGAATGCGGCCGTGGAGAGCCGCAGCTCAAAGCAGTCCTCCACTGAAGAGGATGGCGATAGGAAGGCCTCCGATGAGGAGGAGGAGGAGGAGGAGGAAGAGGAGGGGTTGCTACGCAGAGCTGCAGGGCAAAGGACTGAGGGCGACGAAGTGTTCTACGACACGGCGGATGCCTGAGAAGATGCACGAGGCGACAACAGAAAACATCGTCGGTATATATATATATTTATATATATATATATCATAACAGAAGAAGATATTCGGGAAAAGCAGGAGATTCATTTTCGTTTTGAAATTTTGCAATCGGAAAGCGAAGCTTCGAACAAGTTTCCCCTATTGCTCTTTCAAGTAAGGGCCCGATCGGATCATCCCACATTCTTATAGCCCACACTCGCATTTGCGCACACTTTCTGAACCGAATGTGGCTGTAATAACAGTCAGATGCATCAGGAAAAGTCCTATTGCGAGTATGCCCTGAACTTGAGGACCAGTTTTTGCACTGTAGTCTCACTGTACCTTGAATTTTTTGCATCTAGGCGGAAGCCGGACTACAACACAAATACTGGGATGTGGTACCTGTATCAGGCCCCGAGTGTTCCTGGAATGAAAACAGAGTTCTGTTTCACTGTTTCTTTTCCCCCTTCTCTGAACCGAATGTAGCTGTAATAACAGTTAGATGCATCAGGAAAAGTCTTATTGCGAGTATGCCCTCAATTTGAGGACGGGTTTTTGTACTGTAGTCTCAGTTCACCTTGAATTTTTTTGCATCTAGGCGGCAGCCGGACTACAACACAAAAAATTGGTTGTGAACCTGAAATTAAGAGTGTAGGATGTAGTACCTGGATCAGGCCCTAAGTATTCCTGGAATAAAAACAGAGTCCGCCCCCCCCCTCCCCYCCCCCGCCCCCCCTTCTTTTTCTGTGGACAGAGGAGAGAGTGTGTAACGTATCGTGAGGGGCAAATTGGCAAATTGGCAAGTTCTGTATCTTAGAAACAAGGAACGCAGATTTCTGGAGAATCTTCAAAGAACAAAATACACTATCATCCAAAGCATTTGGAATTTTAGAACTGTCACAAGGTTATAAAAAGGGGAGAAGGGATTCAAGGCACGGAGGGAGGGAGGGAGGGAGGGTGGGAGGGAGGGAGGGAGGGAGGGGATGGTGCGGGGAGAAGATGAGGGTGCAGTGTGGAGAGATGGGAGGAGGGTGCAATGTGGGGAGATGGGGGAGGGTGCAGCGCGAGGAGATGGGAGGGCTGTGTGGGGTTGAGCTCGTCTGTGAAGAGTAGTATTGAAAGGTTATCTTTTAGCTATGTGACCAACCAGCCCAAAGTTTGTGGTGTTTGGCAAATTGAGGGTTTATAAATCTGTTTGGAACTCTGGATAGGATCCATAAATAGTAAATACATATTATAGCTGTACTCGGGGCAACTTCCAGTCGGGGCACAGCGATAATGACTGTACATTCTCTATTCAGGTGAAGACTGTGGTGTTGGGTCCTAACAGAAGATAAGAGGGGTTGTAGGTGAACGACCACCATAGCTGTGATAGGTTAGCAGTCTTCTTTCAGAAGACAGCCATGGCTGAGGAAGGAGGCCTCTGTCTGACAAAAGGATGTCAGGCCTGCGGAGAACAGGAGTCACACAACCTGAGAGGCTACGAGAGTAAATTTGATTGCCGAAGACGGCGAAGAGTAGATGACGGCGTTTTGACGGATGCAGCAGAAATTGTCGAGTTGTTGTGGAGTGGAAGTAGGGTAGAGATTGCGGAGGAGGATCAGAAACATGGTTGCTAGTTTGGCGTGGTGGCGGTCGAGATGGTGTGTAGGAGGACAGAGTTGTTCGTGGAATAGGAGGGGGTTGCATCTCCTCCTTTTTCTTTTCTTTTTTTTTTTCCCTTTTTCTTCCCTTTTTCGGAAGTTTTTCCCTTTTCCTTCCTTTTTTTTCTTTTTTTGCCTTTTGTTTTGTTTTGTTTTTGTTTTCATTTTCAGTTCACTGTACTCCTTTTCTTTCCCATTTTTTGCGGGCATTGACCTTTCTTACTCCTCTGTTTCCTTCCGTGTGTCTCTCCTGCTTCTGAAAAGTTGGTATTCACACACTCCACATGGCTTCTCCTTCATCTCCTTATTACTTGCTTTGCAACAGTGTAGCATGACATCTCTCTCTCTCTCTCTCTCTCTCTCTCTCTCTCTCTCTCTCTCTCTCTCTCTCTCTCTCTCTCTCTCTCTCTCTCTCTCTCTCTGTGAGAGGGTACTGAATCTACCGCTAGAACATCGAAATATACACTACTACGCACGCGTGTGTGTGTGTGTGTCTGATTCATTCTGATTTTGCTCATCCTATCGATGGAAGTAGCCTCTATCTCTCTGCGTGCATGGCTGG